CCTCCCACCAGCCCAGGCTGCTCCAAGCCCCATCCAACCTGCCCTTCAACACTGCCAGGGATGGGGCAGCCACAGCTTCCCTGGGCAACCTGGGCCAGGCTCTCACCACCCTCACAGGAAAGAAATTCCTCCAGAATTCCCTCCTCATGTCCAACCTCCATCTCCCAGTTTTCATCCCTTCCCCCTTGTCCTCTCCCTACAGCCTGGAAAGCTGTGGTGTCACTTTTCATCAGTGACGGGGCAAGGGGGGATGGTTTTGAACTGAGAGATTTAGGTGAGATATTAGGAAGAAATTCTTCACTCTCAGGGAGGAGCTGGGATGAGTTGCCCAGGGAGGTTGTTGATGCCCCATCCCTGGAGGTTTTTAAGGCCAGGTTGGATGAGGTTTGTGCAGCCTGGTCTGGTGGTTCCCTGCTCATGGCAGGGGGGTTGGAACTTGGTGATCTTTGAGGTCCCTTCCAAACCTGAATGGTTCTGTGAAGTCTCTCTCCCCTATGGAGAGGGACAAAGCAGCAGAGGCACCACCCAACATTCCAACTTCAGGCTGAAGCTTTGGGGTCACGTTCAGGACAAGGAGGGCAGCTCTACAAAGTGAGCAGTCCCTGGCTGAGCAGCAGGGACAGGGCTGGGGCAGGTGAGGGGCAGCTGCCTCTGAGGAAGGGCTTTTCCCAAACCTTCTGCCTTGGAAGGGAAAACAGAGACAGTCAGCAGGACTTGGAAGGAGAACCCTGACACTGCTTTGTGCCTGTTGATGTGCAGATCACACTTCCCCAGCAGCTACTCCCCACTCCAGCCTCCTTCACTCCATCTCCAAACCCTCCACAGCCCCTGGGCTGCTCAGGCAGAAACACAGAGCCCAGGGACAACACCAGGACCACCTGGACTGCTCAGGCCTGTGCTCTGCCCCTGGGCTTCACCCCAAAACCACAACAAAAGCATCAGACAAGTCTGGATGTCTTTATTTTGTTAAAAGGCTTGGCTGTTCAGCTGCAGGGAGAACAGCCCCAGTACCAACTCCTCCAGCAACACGTTGGGCAGACCAGAGACAGAACACAACACCCAGCCAAGGCTCCTTTGCCAGCACCAATGGTTTCAGCATCCCTCCAGAGAGAGTGAAGGAACAGGAGACACAATGGCCAGCCCCAGGCAGGATTTGGAGAGAGGTCTAGAAGGAGCAAATGCACTGGTGTGTCTTCTTGAGCATTCTGGAAGGAGTCACAGCACCTCCAGCTGGAATCAGAGGAATTCCTTCCTGCTCCTTTCTGTGTGCACATCCCCACACAGGATGGGAAGACAGAGCTTCCATAGGGCTAAATCCAGTGACATTTCCTGTGTTATCAGACTTTTGGTCTCTCCAATCTCCTATTGCAAGTCTGGGCCATTGATCTGGTGACCCCAACAAGAGCAACCTGTTAAAACTGACTTTAAAAAGAAATAATAATACAAATGGTGCAAACATTGTTTCTCCCCTGCAGGCAGCCTGTCCTGTTTTCCTGCATCAACCTGGTCACAGAGAAAGAATCTGAAGTTGACAGGACTAGCCAAGCTGTGAGACAAGGAACTGCTCCCCAGGTTTTCTGAAGGTCAGGTGAGTGAAGGGGGCACCTTCTGCAGGCTGCCAAAGCTCAGCTTCTCTCCCGTGGGCTGGCAGGATGTGTGTAAACCACAGTGTTGGAACAAGTTGTACCATGGGGCAGTGCTGAAAGAGAAATACCTGCCTCTGTCCTCTACCTTATAGTTTGAGCTACAGCCCAGACTGGTCAGTCCTCATCTGAGCTATCCTCTGATTTTTCATCAGTGGCCACTTTCCAGTTCTTCCTCTTGCTCCTCTTCTCTGGCACTTCACTCTGCCTCTCTGACACCGAATTGTGACGTTTCTTCCTCTTTTTTGGGAGCCGTTTCTCTTTCCTCTCCTCGGATTCACTGTCCTCAGAGCTGCTGGTGCTTGAGCTGCTTGCATGAGAAGAGTCACTTTCCTGCCCAGAAGAAGAGGTAGGTTCCCTGGCAGGCACTTTCCTGGTCTTTTTCTTACGCTTGTGTTTCCCTTTCCGGGTGCTCGACGTCTCCTCCTCTGAGCACTCGCTCTCCCGGGAAGAATCTGATGATGTTCTCCCCTGCTCCTTTTTCTTTTTCTTTCTCTTCTTGTGTGATCTCTTTTTCTGCTTCTTCTTGTGGGATTTCTTGGTTTTTTTCCTCCTGTGTGACTGGGCAGTTTGCTTCCCCAGGTGAGATTTCTTCTTCCCATTGACAGCGTTTTGTTCCTCTGCTCCCTGCTGGTCACTGTGAAGAGGAGAAGGATGAGCCAGAGGCAGCAGAGGCAGCTCAGCCTCTCCTGTCTCAGTGCTTTCCCCAAGCCCACCCATTCCTTTGGCTGGAGCAAGGACCAGGTGTTTTGACAGATGTGGTAGCTGCATTTTAGTTTCAAGTGCTTATCAACACCTTGGGCCCACCCTTTACTAACACCCCTGCTTCAGATATTGAAGCCAGAGCCAAGGAGAATGTGTCTTGGAAGCCCCTGGGTGATGGAAACTCATTTAGAGCAGGTTACTTCAAATCTGAAAGCCTGACAGACCATAGAACCACCACAGACTGGTTTGGGGTGGAAGGGACCTTAAAGATCATCTAAATCCAACCCCTCACTAGTTCTACCTCCCACTAGACCAGGTTGCTCTTTGTACTTGATATTGTCCTTGATGGTTCTTGGGTGTAGTTTAAGAACCCCTCATTCTAAGCCCTTGCAGCACAGCTAATCTGCTCCCCAGGACACTGCAAGGATTTATACACTCCAGATGAGGAGAATCACAGGAAATACAGGTGCAGTGTAATGGAAAGGAGCAGCTGGAGCTGAGATGGTGCACACTGAGCTGATTTGGATTCATCCTACTGCTCTGTTGGCCCAGACAGACCTTCCAGATTCACAGCATTTTAGTAACTCAGGCAAAAGCTGAATGTCTCATCTCTACAAAAGTTACAATCCCCTCCCAAGACTCAGACAAAGGGGAACAACATCAACGAGCTGGGTCCTTCTCTGTTGCTTGTCTGTAACTGAGCAGGGCTGCTTTATACTCAAAGCTGATCTATATTCAAAACTTTGAACTGAAGTCTGTAGAATTCCCTGCACAACCTGGCAGAGTTCAGGTCCTGGATACACAGGAAGCATGCCTGCCTTACCTGTCTGTATCAAATTCCTCAGGGTACAACTCTTTATAGCCACTGTGACCCCACCTGTAAGAAAGAACCATCTATTAGAAACAAAATGTTCAAGGAAAGACTGTAATTCTGAAAAGGCCACAGAGTGACCATGAGCAAAGGGCTATCAGAGCCTTCCCAACACAGAAGAAAAGAAGACTGATCTGGTTGGTATTATTTATTTAAACACACCTCACATCCTCAGCTTCTTTTTCATTTCTCAGAAGGGAAAACTACAACTAAATTTCTTAAAACTAACCCTGGAGAAGAGCCCTAACTCACATTCCTTGAGGGGTTTTTTTAGTTCCTTGGGCAAAGCAATAAATACTAAGCTTAGGGCTGAGCTTTTGCTGCTCACTGTGACTACAGATAAACTCACAGCAGGTCTTCTGTGACACTGCAAAACTTTGTGCATGTTATTTATTCCTTCCCAAAATGGGATCAAGCAGATCAAAGTATATACCAAAAACATAAACATGGACTTTTTGGTGCAGGACTTCAGGAGAGTGTTTTAACCAGAGTTATCATCAGAGAACATTCATTCCCTCCCCCTACAGACCTGTCTGGCATGTTGGCTTCACATTCATAGAGCTTTTTATTCCAGGATCGGGCCCTGAGGAGATCATCTTCATCTGGGTCAAGAAACTGGGAGTTCCTGGTTTTCCAGTCAGCCCTGGGACCCTCCTCGTCGAAGCCGTCGCTGCGCATCCGGCTGCTGCAGGGAGACAACACGGGTCCTTCAGCTGCCCCTCTGAGGGGGAAACCTCCTGGTTAGTCCAGCCAGGAGAGCAAAAAATCCAGCAAGTCCATCTATGCAAGGAGACCAGCCATTGCTTGGACAAGCAGCCACCACCAGCAGCTCTCACAAAACCAGTTCAGGAGCCACAAACATTTCCCCGACTGAGCCAGGCACAGGTAGAGGAAGGGGTTGTCCTGCCTGGCACAACTAGAGCAGTTCCCATGGAATGGTTTGGGATCATCCAGATCCAAGCCCCCTACCAGACCAGGTTGTGTTTACTGCACATCTGGATGAAGAGATAAAAGGTCAGACTTAAGGACTTTTATCCAGGGACACAAGTGAGGGGAGAACAAACAGTCTGTGCAGGCTCCACTGAACAGTCACCCCAGGATGCTCTTACATGGTTATAACACAAAAGGTTCAACACCTAAGTCAAGAAAATCACCTCCTCCCCACAGCTAAAACCCACCTGGAAGTGTCTGCCAGCATTCTGCTCTGCCTTTTCCAGTAAGTCTCTTCTGTCTGCTTCTCCCACTCCCTGATTTTCCACATTTCTGTCTCTTCCTGAAGCTGAAAGTCACAGAAAGGAAACAAGTGTCACAGCTCCCAGCTCAACATCCAGCTCCAGAGCTTCCCTGCCATCTTCAGGCAGGTTACTGTGTCCAGCTCTAACCAAGGTGACCAAAAAGAGAGTCTCTTGGTGGCCATCCCCTGACAAAGCACATCATGGCACCAGAAATGGTGGCTTTGCCTGATTTTGCTGCCTCAGCTGCTCTGCCTTGTCACTCCCCCCCACCTCAAACACAGGGACTGTTAGAGAACTCAGGACATAAAAGAAATCTGGAAGGACCAAGCCAAAATGGGAAGTTCCACCCCAGAATGGGAACACACAGTGAGCACACACTGAGTGGCTTGGCACAGATTTACCTTTATGGGCCCTGAGTGTGAACAAGTGACATGACAAAGACACGACATAAACGTGTTAGAGCTGCTGAATTGTGTCTGGGATTCAGTGGTTTGCTAAAGGTAAGAGAGTTCTGTTGTTTGTTTGCAATCCTGCCCCACAGCCCTGCCCCTGTGCCTCCACACAGAGCTCAAACCCTTGCATACTGTCGAAAGCACACACAGCACCATGAGGAGACAAAAGAAAACAAACCAACCCACAACAAACAAAACAAACAAGTTCATCGTTTGTTTGCTGCTTTCAAGAAGGCAAATGGTCATTTTCCCACAGGTGCTGAGGACCAGAGGTTTTGCCCAGGGCAAACCTCACGGGTCAGTACCCGTGCACAGGGGTCAGTGCTCGTGCACAGGGGTCAGTACCCGTGCACAGGGGTCAGTACCCGTGCACAGGGGTCAGTACTCGTGCACAGGGGTCAGTACCCGTGCACAGGGGTCAGTACCCGTGCACAGGGGTCAGTACTCGTGCACAGGGGTCAGTACCCGTGCACAGGGGTCAGTACCCGTGCACAGGGGTCAGTACCCGTGCCCAGGGGTCAGTACTGATGCACAGGGGTCAGTACCCGTGCACAGGGATCAGTACCCGTGCACAGGGATCAGTGCTGATGCACAGGGGTCAGTACTCGTGCACAGGGATCAGTGCTGATGCACTGGGGTCAGTGCCCGTGCACAGGGGTCAGTACTGATGCACAGGGGTCAGTGCCCGTGCACAGGGGTCAGTGC